TCAGCTCCCATGGTCCTCTTCAAGCTGGAAAGTGACTTGCAACCATGCTACCCATCATGCAGTGTTTCTAAGTACTTGCTAAAGAAGCCTTTTTTTTCACTTACGTCATCCAGCACTTCCCTACGGTGGTGGAAATAAGATATTTTCACATAACTGCCCTAATGCATTTCTAATTACTTTTTTTAAAGAAAAATAGTTCTTAAGTTATGCTTCAGTTTCACCACATATCAGTGGTAAAAAGATCTGCATTCTGTGAGTCCTGAGTAGTAAAATAAGTAAATAGAAGCTGTGGTGCTAAAATCCAGAGGTGTACAGAGGTTGTTTTTATAAGCCACGCACAGTGGACAGAGGTGAAGTACACATGCACTTACATTCTCAAAGGCCATGTTGTATATTGAGTGAGATTCAGCAGATGGTATCCAGAAGTAAACTACAGTCTTTCTCAAGTTGGCAGGTTTGTATCTTCTGTGTTTTGTGTGGAGGGCATCTTAGTTACAGTGAGAATTGGTGGGAAATTAGGAGCCGCTGACTTGAAGCATATCTGTAGCACCTTGAAGAGCTGGTCTTGTGTCTCAGGTTTCCACAGGGCTCTCCTGTGAGAAATGTGGTGCAGCAAACAGAATATAATTGTTTCTTAAGGCAGTAGATTGTGCCTGCCTCAAGCCATCCATTCGTTGTCTGCTGTTTGCCCTTCGGTTCCCAAGGGTATGCCTCACTCCTCTTCTGTACTGCTCGGGCAGCAGTTAACAGCTCTTTCTCTGCCCTCGTGTAATGCTGTGGCTGAGTAAGCTTTTCACTAGAGGAGAGAATTTAAGTTACCATAGAAGGAATGTTCTCACCTTCCTGTCCATGCTGTTTGTATACTAGAAACTTGCTTTTGTTTTCTAGGAGAAAGAAAGAACGTCCCTAGAGGTTTTAGCACCGTAGAGTTGGCAAGATAAATGTACATGAATGTTGGTAACCTGCTGCTTCAGATCACTTGTCACTGAGCCAAACAAGTAGAATTAGATGCTATCTTAATTCGTAGGGCTTCTGTGGAATAGGAGTACAAGGTCTGGCTTGGCAAACCTGGTCATTAAACTTCATTGGCTTCAGTGACATCCAGCACGTGATGGCAGAAATATGAATAATTCCTTTGTTCATAGAGCTTCATAGCAGTTGTTCTGTCAGTCTGCCCACACCAAATACTAATAAAATTGCCTGATTAATAATTGGTGTTTGCAGATGTATGAACACTGATGGACATAATGTTGTGTACTGCTGTGGCTGCCAGCTTGTTACAGACCTACAGGAAAGTACCATTTTTGTTATCCAGAAGCAGCAAGGAGGTGTTGAGTACTTTCATTTTTCAGCACAATCCTGTAACAGAAACTTATGTTTATCTCTGCCTCAAGAAAAAAATTCTTCACACTGCGAAGCAAGTTGCTCTAAGAAAAGCATCTTAAGTTAGCTACTCAGTATTTCTATTTCTTATTTTGGTAGTCTTAAAGTTGAGAAGAAGAATGAAACATACATCTGAAACTGCTGGTGTAGCAGTAGCTCAGCAGAATTGCTCTGGTCTGCTGGACATGTTTCATCTGGCAGCTGTTTATTCCACACTGGGATGATAGTAGGAGGGGAGTTTGGTCCTACTCAGAGTAAGCTGTCTGTAACTTGAAAATGCTAGTAGCTCTCTGATGGCATGGATCATAGGGATCACAGTATTTTAAAGGTGCCCAAACATTGCAGTGTATGAACCTTAAGCTGTCCTCTGCTATAATAATCATCCACAAGGCATAAGGTGGTGTCTCAGGTGCAAAACCAAACTTTGCTGAGAGGCTAGTTTATAGGCAAGTGTCTTCCTGCTGTTGCTGAAACAGACTGTGAATGAAGTAAAAGTGAATGTTGTGGTTGCTAGTTGAGTTGGAGGATCTTGTCTCCGTGTAAATAATCCAATACAGAAAGCACAAAGGAGAGTGAGGATGAATATCCTTTTGCTTATCACCAGGATCTTGAGTATCCTTGAAGGTAAGGATGTAGCAGCTTTTCAGTTAATTCAGATTATACTTCAGAGAGGGTTTGTAAGTTTTAATTCCTTTTCCCTGGATCATTATGTAAGACTAGGCTCTTTATAATTAGTTTAATTCCCGATTAGGCTTGTGTGCACCAGATAATGTATTTCCCAAGGCAAAGCATGTAAGGCTACTTTGCCCAAATGTCTGTTTTAAAAAATCTAAAGATTGCAGAAGTCTAAAAATACTTATAATTTCTTTCCAATACAGAAGAATATGACTTAAACTATTGAATAGGAGTTTCATGGGATGCAGAAATCATACTATAACTTGCAGGTACTATGCTTCTTGATAAGGGAATTTCAATTTTAGGGTAGCATTATTTCCAGTAGTAAATATATGTCAAGATTAAGGATGTTCATGAGAAGATTTTCCATTTTCTGGGAAAAGTAACATCTGCCAAATGTGATGCTGGTAAGCTGGCTTTTTTTGATGGCATTATGTTTCAACCAAATGCAACCTAAAATTGAAAAGGTAACACAGTAGTTACAGTTATGTAGTTAACAAAACAGAGGCAAATGTTGATTGTAGGCAATCTTATAATTTAATTATCTGAAGTGCTTTAAGCAATCAGAGTTTTCTTAAAGATGTTATTTTGCCTTTCCCTCATTAAGGGTAAATGAGCAAGCACCCTTCCTAGAGAACTGAAAGGTGGTCTTTTCAAGTTTAATTTGCAGCACTTGGTGGAGGATTAATGTCATTAAATGACCTCATTTAAATTTTTTAGTCACCTAAGAGATGGTAGACAGATGTGAAAAGGGAATTATCCATAAAGCATGAAAGTTAAATTAGCAGCTTTCTTATTTAACTGTTTTAATTTGGAAAATTTAATTACAAGACTTGAGCCTTTTTGTTAGTTGGGATATCTTTTGGTGCATGGGTAGTGTGATGCTTGCTGTCACTGAATGCATCATGATGTTACAGGCCATGTTTTATTCATGGAGTTATTTAAAAAAAAAAGGTGTACTTTATTGCCTTTACTATTTATATTTGACAGGAAGTAAGTATATTTGAGGTTGACATTTGATATTAATGCACAGTGATTTTTTCATTTGCAAGGTATACAGGTATAGTGTAGGCAAGTTTCTTTTTTATGGATACAGATACATGAACGATAGGCCGTGAGTGCTTTTCCTAACAGGTGAGGTTGGTCATAGTGTTTTTGAGAATGTCTAGTAATAGACACCTAAATCCACATACAGGCACATATTATGCATAATGAATTAAATGTTTTGCTGTTGCCAAGGGGAAATACTTGTGTGCTTCTTTGTATGCCTAGGTGAAGGTTATGTCTCCAGTGTGCAAGAGTTCACTTAGTATTTGAAAACTCTGGATTTGTGTGTTTCTAAATAGAAATGCGCTCTACCAATTGTAGGATGTGGATTCTGGTATTTTCACTAGGTTAGGTAGCCCTAAAAGCCGTGTCTCTGAGTATCTTTCTCTTTGTATCTTTTAATGTAGATCTACTTCCAGAAGTACAGCTCTGGGGCATCCTATTCATTTACAAAATCCTAAGGGTACTTCAGTTTGCATAAATTTAATGCAACTTTGATTTTATCTTAAGTGTTTCTTAGTGAGGTTTTGCAGCTTGGGGAGTGACTCACTTTCAGCTAATGCTTGCTGTGGTTATCCAAGATATTTCCTGCACCTTGAAAAAGTATATGTTTACTTGCTGTGTGTTCATTCTTGTTGTGATTGCCATGGTTTAAAAATTTTCATGGGTTTTTTCAGTCCTGCCAGCTGTGTATAGGTCTGAAAAGAGGAACACGGATAATAGTTTCAGGGAATAACATATGTGAATGACTGAAATTCTGTGTCTTGACACCATTGTAAGACCAGCAGGTGGAACTGACGAAAATGTAAAAAAATCCAGGCTAGCAAAAGCAAGATAGCCTTTTACGACTGTCTTGGAAAAAAAAAGAAACCTGGTCCTGCAAATACAGAATTTAACACTAGACTAAACCTTGTCTTAAGATGCAGCATTGAATATTGGAGATTTCTCAAGGCCTTATTGTCTGAACTGCAGGTCTTTAATAATAGTGTGTAGACAAGTTGTTCATATTGTACAGCCAGGAAAAAAACAGACTAGATGCTGCACAGACGGGTGATACAGACATAGTTGTCCAAATAGTAGGATGAAGGTGTGGAAGACACAAAGCAATGTATCAAAGCAAGGAGATCGGAATTCTTAAGGCAAAAAGTCATGAGGCAGATAGGTCTGTAAAGCAAATATGGCTTTATAAAAGAAGTGTGATATATAGTAGACCAAAATGACATAACTAAAATTCAGATACAATAAATCTTTAGAAAGACTGTAGTGGAGTCTCCTGTACTGCAAATCAGGTGACTGGGACAGAAAATCAAGATATAAGGGAATGCATGAATGCTTTAATTACCTTTTTATCTCATATCTTTGTAGCTAGGGTTATGTGTTCATGTATCACTGCACAGAAGTAAAATTTTGAATTCGGTTACTACCCCTGACCTTTTATCAAAAAATTAGTTTTTTAGTCAGATTTTAGGTTATAGTTTTTGCAGTTTTACAGTGCTGACCACAGGTTTGTGCTGTGTTCAGTGTGTGGGTTTAATAATTGTAAAACAGTTAAATAATTCAGTTTCTTCAAAATAGGTAAATGGAAAGAAAATCCAACCCTTTTTTAAGCTTATTTTACAGATCTCAAAAGGAAGGAGAAACAAAAAAAGGCAGTTTATCTGGGGAACAGAATTTGGGGGAGGGAAATATGACCTGAATAACATATTACTGCTAAATAACTGCTGGTGACTGGTGTTTCTCTGCAGTTCATAAAATTTGTGAGAGTTACTTTGTCTTATCATGGTATAGTTAGGCACGGGAATGTAGTAAACATAGATGCAAAGTATATAAAATTGTGTTGATTAGTGTGTGGTTGATTCAGATCTAATATATTCTTTCTTATCTTTAGATTCAAGCACCCTATAAGGACAAATGTACCCAATAGCTCATGGAAGAAAAAAATCAAATCAGGACATCCTTGGTTTCCAGGCTACCGAAATATGGAACGAAAACTTTAGGAAGTGTCTTGCAACCTGTGCCAAATGGGGCGGCTGTTGGTTTAGCAGGAAATAATGGTGGCAAAAATTTTGGCAAGCACAATGGCACTGCTCACATGTCTTCCTTTTCTTTCAACTGGAAAAAATCAAATAAATATCAACTTCATGGTCAAAATGGGAGAGAGACCAACTCTAAACATAACTGTAATGAAAAACTAATCGATTCTGAAAAGTATTCTCAATCTCAAGGAGCATTGGGTAATGATGTGCTCAGGGTGGGTTTAAAAAGTAGTGTTTCGGTTGCATCAAAAGCAGCGAAGCAAACCAATATGTTTGTATCTTCTACTGAGGAATTAAACCCAAAGTCTTTGCCTGGACTCTCTAGTTCAGCAAAATTCGCCAAAGGTACCCTGTCAGGAACGACCTCATATTCTGGGCTCAGTGCTCCAAAATCACATTTAAATGGATTTTATGGAAATAGGCCGGTGGTAGGTTTGCAGAGACCTAGAGCTAATTCCAGTGCTACAAGGACAAGTTCAGGAGAAAGCCTGGCGCAATCTGCAGACGGTAGCAAGGCTTTTTCCTGTGAAAAAATGGTAAGATCACAAAGTTTTTCACATTCCATTCAGAATTCTTTCCTTCCCACTGCATCTTTAACCAGGTCACATTCCTTTAATAAAGCTGTGGATCTTACAAGGCCTTATCATAGTCAAAATCTAGCTGCCAGGACATCTCAGAGGTCGACTTTGTTGTCAAGAAATGCATGTCAGTTGGATGTACCAAATGGCAATGAACCGATGAAGTATGGATTTGGCAGGCCCTACTCTAGTATGTCGACTCCTTGTTCAAAGAAGCCCGCACTGTCAAACGGGTCTGGGTCAGCACCTTCGTTTGGATACAGATTAAGTCGGCCTTCTCTGCTGAAGCCTACCAGGCAGCGATTTGCTGGAAATATTGTTGTGGATGGCAGCAAAAGTACGACTTCTGACACGTGCATTGTAGAGAACTCTCAAATTTCAACAAATATTAATAGAGCAATTGAGAAAAACAGTATTATAGAGAGCAGCGCTCAAAGAACAGAATCTGACGAGGGCCTGCATGAAAGTATAGGGTCAAAAGTCATGTGCATGAGCGATGATGGAGATGAAATATCGATATCTTCTTTGTCATCCTCTGAAAAAAACGATTTGAGTGAAGACTTCAGTGATGATTTCATAGACATAGAAGTCCCAAACAGAACTATACAAATACAGCAAAAGGAGAGCTGCCTTCAAGAGTTAGAGCATGGGAGCATAAAGTCCATCGAGCCATTCACTTCTCTCAAGGAAAGTGGAGGATCTTGCTGTAATGCTGATGACTGGCTTGATATAAATGTGTCTGGTAAATACTTTGATATGTTCTGTTTGAAATTTTAGGTACTAAATCAAGATTCTGTAACTGTAATTAGTTTGTTTTACATAATTACCCATTGCTTGTGAATTGTTTCAAAATGGAACTTGGCTCTATGCTAGCCAGTTTGTTTTCTTACAGTGCTTTTTCTTCATGATAGTTGTCTTTCCCAGGCATGAATTTGAAAAGCTCTTTTTCTTCAGGATAAGAATGAATGATACCTCCTTTAACCATGCTTGTGGTAGGGTTGTGGGATTCCTCATATCCTTGCCTTGCCATTCATTTTTCTGGACTGGTGAAGTAGTGGAAATAAATGCAGGGCGTCCAGTTAAATCAGTTAAATTATAAATATGAATGTCACTGTTTTTTGTGTTGTTTTTTTTCCAGAGGTGTGCTATATTAATTCTTTAAAAAATAGTTGAAGACACAGGAGATGTTTTTTATAAGCCATGTTTTCAAGTCTCTAATGGGCTTCTTAAAGTACATGCTTGTTATGAGAGAATTTATAGCTGAAAGATCACATCCAAAGGATCCACCTTCTGATATGTTAAAAAGATACAGAATCCTAGAAAGTAGCTTTCATGATGAGTGAATTAGTGCAGTGTAAAAGGCTAACAAATGTGTAGGTTGGAAGGATACCCGGTTGTAGTTTCCAAACCAGCTTGAGATTTTTTCCCCTCTAGGATGAGTGAACAATACTGTAGAATGCTTTCAGGTATTTCTGTTACAGTACTGTTTAATAAAAGTTTAATGCACCAATAATACACACCTTAATTTTTATATTTGCCATACTGGATTGTTTCTGAAATCTTGACTGTTCCTGTTTTCTTTAAGCAGTGGATGACAACAGTGAAAGCACAAAGCATACTGCTGAGAATGTCACTTCTCCAGAGATGAATTACAGAGCTGGGTCCTCTTTTGAGCTTTCTCCATCTGACAGCTCTGATGGCACGTACATGTGGGATGAAGAAGGACTGGAACCTATTGGAAGTGTCCATCCATGTGGAAGTTATGAATCTTCAGAAATGAACAGCATAGTATGTATTTATATGCATAACTTGCCTAATTGTAGTGTTTTGAGTTTATTGCCTAGTAAGTATATTTTAAAAGCAGAATTAGTATATTTTTTTTACTTGATAATTGTTTCCTCTTTCCTCTGTAGCTGACAGTTTTTTGAAAGTTCTTGTTTAGGAACTCGTGTTTCTGGACAGGTGACTTTGATTAGCCTGATTACATACATTTTTTCTTCCTTTTTCTCAAGTCAGGATGGAACATATCCTTCCTTATGCAGTCTCATGGTAGTGCTCACAAAGAATAAAGGAATCAATTTCTGCAAATGATAGGTTAAATATCTCCTACCAATCTCTAAACCTAGGAGTGAAAGAGCAAGAAAATAGCTATTGTCTATCTGACTTCTTCATTGAATGGTTTGGGTGGGAAGGGACCTTTAAAGGTCATCTAGTCGGACACACCTGCAGTGAGCAGGGCCCTCTTCAACTGGATCAGGTTGCTGAGAGCCCTGTCCAGCCTGACCTGCAATGTTCCCAGGGATGGGACATCTACCACCTCTCTGGGCAACCTATGCCAGTGTTTCACCACCCTCATCGCAAAAATTTTGTCCTTCTGTTGAGTCTTAATCTACCCTCTTTTAGTTTAAAACCATTACCTCATGTCGTATTGCAACAGGTCCTGGTAAAAAGTTTGTCCCTATCTTTCTTATAAACCCCGTTTAAGCACTGAAAGGGTGCAGTAAGGTCTCCTGGACTCTTCTCTAGGCTGAACAGCCCCAACTCTTTCAGCCTTTCCTCACAGGAGAGGTGTTCCAGCCCTCGGATCATTTTTGTGGCCTCCTCTGGACCTGCTCAAACAAGTCCATGTCTTTCCTGTGCTGAGGGCTCCAGAGCTGGATGCAGGACTCCCGGTGGGGTCTCACCAGAGCGGAGCAGAGGGGCAGAATCCCCTCCCTTGACCTGCTGGCCACACTGCTTTGAATGCAGCCCAGGATACGGTTGGCTTTCTGGGCTGCAAGCACACATTGCTTGGTCATGTCCAGCTTTTCATCCACCAGTACCCCCGAGTCCTTCTTGGCAGGGCTGTGCTCAATCCCTTCATCCCCCAGGCTGCATTGATACCAGGGGTTGCCCTAACCCAGGTTCAGGACCCTGCACTTGGCCTTATTGAACCTCATGATGTTCATGCAGGCTCACTTCTCTAGCTTGTCCAGGTCCCTCTGGATGGCATCCCGTCCCTCAGGTGTTTCAACCACACCACTCAGCCTGGTGTCATCTGCAAACTTGCTGAGGGTGCACTTGATCCTGCTGTCTAGGTCATTGATGAAGATATGAAACAGTGCTGGTCCCCATACGGACCCCTGAGGAACACCACTTGTCACCAGTCTCCATCTGGATATTGAGCCATTGACCACTACCTTCTGGATGTGACCATCCAACTAATTCCTCATCCACTGAACAGTCCACCCATCAAATCCATCTCTCTCCAATTTACAGAGAAGGATGTTGTGGGGGACCGTGTTAAAGGCCTCACAGAAGTCCAGACAGATGACATCTGTAGCTCTTCCATTGTTCATTGATGTAGTCAGTCCATCATAGAAGGCCACCACTTGGTTGGTCAGGCAGGACTTGCCCTTGGTGAAGTCATGCTGGCTGTCTTGAATCACCTCTCTGTCCTCCCTGTGCCTTTGCACAGCTTCTCGGAGGATCTGTCCCATGATCTTCCCAGGCACAGAGGTGAGACTGACAGGTCAGTAGTACCCACGGTCCTCATCTACCTCTTTTTAAAAATGGGTGCAATGTTTCCCTTTTTCCAGTCACCAGGGACTTCCCCTGACTGCCATGACTTCTCAAATATTGTGGAGACTGGCTTGGCAACTACATCAGCCAAATCCCTCAGGACTCTGGGACACATCTTGTCAGGCCCCATAGACTTCCGTATGTTCAGGTTCCTCAGGTGGTCACGAACCTGATCTTCTCTTGCAGTGGGAGGGACTTTGCTCCCCCAGTCCCTGTCATGGAGCCCATCCACTGGAGAGGTGTGGGAAGAGAGGCTGCTAGTGAAGACTGAGGCAAAAAAGTTCTTGGCTACCTCGGCCTTGTCCTGGTCCGTTGTCACCAGTTTGCCAGGGTTGCTCATCGGGGCGGGTGTGTGTACGCTTTCTTTGACCTTCCTTTTCTGTCTGACATACCTGTAGAAGCCCTGCTTATTATTTTTTGTGTCGCTTGCCAAGTTCAGCTTCAGCCATCTTGTTTCTATATTGTATATATATAGGACCCTTTCGAACTGAAGTTTATTTTAATTTCTCGGTTTGTTCAAGCATGGAATCTTTAGGTGGATACCTGACTGTGGCTCACTGTGGCAGGATTTTTGTATGTCTCAAATGTGATACACAAGATACATAACAACCTTGTTCTTATTGCTGAGCTTACGACTGATCTGCAAGAAACATCATTTGATCTAAAGAATGGCTGGAGAGATGTTGCAGTGCTGTGACCCTCCAGCTGAGGTCAGGGAGCCAGCCTTGGCATTTCAGTGGACTGGAGGAAAATGCTGTCTGTCTGTCCTTCATCCGTTTTCCCTCTTCGTATTCATTTATCCGAACACTCTTCTGAATTAAGCAGCTCAGATTTTATTAATATGGTACTAGCAGTCAGAACTTGTAATAAAAAGCGTTTGGTATAATCAATGTGTTATGCTTTACATGTTTCAAATGTATTAAATACTGTATCACCCCTGCTAATTTAGTGATGTAGGTACTAGTTTTGGACTTGGACGGGGTTTGTGGCACCTATTCAAACTTTGATTTGTAATTTTAGTAGGGTTGTCCACTGTAGCACAAGAGCAGAACAGCAGAGGTTTCCCCTGAAAATTGGGCACAGCTGTATAATTAAGTTTTTATGTGTAACTATATACAAATTCCTGATGTATTTTCAGCTGCTTGGGGTGTTGTTTGCTTTATGTCTTAAATTAGGATGTTGGGATGTAGTACTTGAGTTTAGAAATGATTATTAACTTTTCATGGTATTTGTGGCCAGCTTGGAAAAGCGTTTTTGACGCTTTTTCAGTATGAGCTTTGTAGATTTATTCATGTTTATAGGGGACAAAAGAGTTTAATGTAGGCCACTGAACAACAAACGCCCTTTTCCCTGGACACATGCATGCACATGCCAGGAAAAAAGGGATTTTTTTTAATATAGATATTTTTGATACATACAGTGTAATTTATGAAACAAATGAAAGACACTACTTTCCCATGCTTTTGGACTGTGTATCTAGGTGTTTGATACATGTGACCTCCATGCATTAATTGATACATGTGTATGAATTGATAGTCAGTCAATGTTCTGATTGACAGAAGCTGTTGCAAGCCTTGTGGAGCAGAAGTACATTAGAAGCTTTTGATATTTTTGTTCACTATTTTGGTTTATTTCTTCCGTTATTGAAAGGAAATAGCTTTTAGAGAGGCATTAAGAATGGAAGAATGAACTTACTAGATTCTGAGGAAGTGGAGAAAGGAGGAGGTTGTAAGGTTGTTGAATATACGAAGTCATGTGGTTTTTTCCACCCATTTTGACTTTTATTCTGTTAGTGCTGTTCCAGAATTACAGTGCTTACTGTACTGTGAATTTTTATCTTAAATGAGAGAAACATCAATAATACATCTTTTATTTTTACAAGGCAGAAATGTATTTTCAGTCAGCTTGGTTTTTGAGGGGGGATCGTAGCTCTGAACCGTTAGTTGAATTGCTTTTTCGTGGTGTTTGGGTTTTTTGTTGGGTTTCTGTTCCCTCGTGTTTGTTGGTTTTGTTAGAAAGCACAATATATTTGATTTCTTTAGCCTAAAAATGAAACACTGATCATTTTTAATCAGAAGATGCAGAAGAATTTCTGATAGTTTTTTCACTACTTCTAAAGAATTATGTTCTTGGGTAGGTTAATGTAAGCTTTTGTTCCATGTTTTTCCTTTCCTCTGCAGGCAATGAGTATAAAGACAGGTTAAAAAAAAATAGAACTGAAGGCGTTGAGAATAATTATTGCGATTAGTCAGCACATCACATGTTTTGATTGCTGGGAGATACGTGATCAAATTATGTGGTTTCTATCCTCTAGTGTGGTGAGGGTAAAAGCAGTTAATATCTGTTTGTCTAAATCTAATTTACATGAGTCAGATTTAAGAATTCTGAGTGCTTGAGCTAATAGGGGCCTGACTGCCCCTTGGAATGACTATTTCCAGGGAAATCTCCAAAGCAGATAGTTGGTTCTGGAGTTTCTGTGGCATCAGACTGGGGTGAGTAGAAGCAATGTAACTGAATAACAATTCAGGTAATTAGATGGTGATTGGTAGTGTTTAGTGCAAAATTCACATTCGTAATTTCCATCTCGCTGTTGTATTGTTAGTCTTTTAAGCTGTATCATCCATAGTATCAGCAAATATTAAATGCTTTTCCTGATTTTTCTCTATAGATGGCAGTGCAGCTTTTATTGGGTAACCTTAGATTAGAAGTGTTTTGATAATCTTTGAAAAAGGAACTTTTGCAGAGGGAATTTTAACTAGGCTTCTGGAATGGCAACCAGAATAGGAAGACAGTGGAAGGAGTTTGGCTACTTAATCTTTTTGTTCCTTTTTTGGGAGGAGAAAAGCAGGTATCTTTGCTATTCTCAGTAGAGCTTGGTTTTAAGGACATAGAGGGGGAAAAAATAAAAGAAATTTGCCCTCTGTTAGGACAGTCCTTCTGTTCTTCACTGACTGAGCCAATCACTATGGATAAAACATGCAATCCAGTGTTGGAGGTTTAGAAGCTATACAAATCTAAATAACCTCTCATAAGACAGTGCCATGGGGACCTACAGCTAAGTAGGACATACATGAGTTTTTTGAGACTTTCTGAGGATGAAAACGTTTTTATTCTCTAATTGTGTAACAGAAAAAAAAATTATTCCACTACCCCTGCTTTTGTTTCATTTCCAGTTTTGAAGGCAACAAATCAATTGATTAACATTCTAAGAATTGAACTCCTTTCCA